GGTGAGGGGGAGAGAGAGGAAGGAAGGGAAGGAAGGAAACATACATGCAAGCACCTAGCAAACTAAAACTTACTTTTGTCAGCCTGCACAAAGGACAGATGCCAACCTGAATAAAAATATCTGTGCATACTGGCAGAAGGACAGCCTGGGAGCACCCACCAAGGAGGCCCTGTCCAGAGTTCTAGGAAAATGCCTGTTAGCTGCTGAGCCAAGTTTGAGACCCGTTGGTGGTCGACAGAGCTTTGAGCGACTTGGCTACTGGGGAGGTTGCCTTCCCCGGCAGGGCAATCATTAAGGCCAGAGGAGATGCGCTTCCGCCGCACCGACTGAAGCGCATCCTGCCGATTGCCAGCTGGCGAACCTGGTCCCAGGGCTTCCCCTGGTGGCCCCCACCTAGCAAAACGTCCTCCTTCCTGGACTCTGGGGCGCATCGAAGGTCTCAAGCGTTACAGGCTGGTTGAAGGCATGCTCTCCCCCAGCCCTTCCCAGGCTGGTTCTGCCTCCCAGGCGGTCAGTCGTTCATTTTCCAACACTCTGTGTTGCGTCCTGATTTTGATATTGTGAATGGCACCAGCAAAACTTTTCAGATTGATAAGCAGGCTAGACATTGATTGATGGATGGAATGAATGAAGGAATGAATGAATGAGTGTCTGTGATCTTGGTGGGACAAAGAGAAGGCCCCCCCCTCTCGTGAGGCTCGTACACCCTCACCAAGAACGCATTTTTTCTCGGCTTGCCTGCTTTCCTTTGCAATCTTTCGCAAACCTCCCTGCGCTCTCTGTCTGAGAGACGCTGGGCTCCACAGGACGCCCGGTCCGACCTCGTGGCAGTTGCCTGTTGAGGAGACAGCCTCTGATGGTCACCTGCTTCTGAGTCTCTGGCCATTGCATCCATTATTCTCTTGCATTCTAGGGCGGGCTTGAAACCGGGACTTAAGCCAGTTTCTGCTTAGTGGAACGAAACTGGGCTGAATCATTGTCAGATCCACTGAGTTATTTGTCAGCTCTGCTGATGTTGGTTGATTAGAAATGGCTGAGTAAGGGCTACCCCTTCCGTTACTCAAGAGAAGAGGCACATAGGCAGAGAGGAGCTTTTAAAAAGCCCCAAGGCTTCCTGTGTCCCGTGAAGCACCATGGACCAGTCTTCCGTGCGAAGCCATGTCAACTGGACAGGATGGGCGTGCAAGCATGGTCCCACCTCCCCCTTGTCTTGGCGGTAGAAGCCCAGCGCAGCTGACGCGGGGGTGAGGAACAGGCCGGCTAGGTGTGGCCTGCTGGCTGCCGCCTCCGCCGCCGCCACCTCCTGCTCCTCCTCGGGGCCCTCCAGCACTGCTCAAATTGGTTAATGCAGCAGCAGGAAAGAGGCCGTGCAGTATGAGGTCTAAGGTGTTTGCCACTGGATCGGGATTGCCGCCCAGCGCGCGTCAAAGCAACATGGATCCTGGAGGCGTCTCTCCCCATATTGGCTGAGGAGGCCATTTAGAGCAGAGGAGGGCAGGCGCTGGCCCTCTGGATGGTTGGGACCCGACTGCCAGCATTCCTGTCCATTGGCCATGTTTGCAGGTACTTCTGGGCGTGGAAGTCCCAGAACTTGGGGGAATCTCCTTTCTGCCCACCCTCAATGTACGGACCCTTCCCCAGATCTAGCTGTATGTGGCACGAGCGGATCGGCTCCGCCTGGGGCCGCGAAGAGCCCAGGGGCACCTGTGAGCGCCCCCAGTGCTGAGCGCCTCCCAAGTCAGAGCACAGGGCAGGAAGGAGTGATGAGGCAACCTTAGTGGTGGCATCCGTGATGAGTGTGCAGCACGTGCGACACATTGGCACTCCGCGCCCTCGCAACGGGCGGCGCCGGCCCCTCCGGCAGTGCTGTGGGTGCAGCGCCCCGTTGCGAGTCCCGCATCCCATCCGTGCGTGTGCTGTCTGTTGGTCTGTGTGTCTTGGGGCCTCAGCCGCGCTCGCTGCTCCTGCAGTCTGGTGTCCGCCTGGCCGTGGGGATACGATACGACACTGCCAGGTGACTTGGGCAGAGCTGGGAAGGCGGTGCCCCAAGCACCAGCTCTCCTCGGTTTCAGACAGTTGGGCAATTTAGCCACAGGATTAAATTGGGTTCTGCGGCTGTTGTTTTCGCTGGACTTGAAATCGTACCGCTTTTTCTGATGTGAGCATCATTGCTTTGCAAACCGCATGCACACACAAAAAAGGAGTCAGAAATGGAGGATGCCTGTATGCATGCATGAAGGCGCATTTCAAGCTCCGTGGCTTCCGAGGCTGGCCCTGTGTGTGAGGACAGAGAGGATTGTGGAAATCGCTCTGTCCGGTGTCAAGCCGCTGCACAGAGGTGGGGGCGCTGGGTGCATTTGTAGCCAAGCTGGAGAGAGAGAATCAGATGGGCAAGCTCAGGGGAGAAGGACCCTGGGTCTGCAGATGGTTGGCCAGCCTGCCCTGGGTCAGATGCCATTTGGGATGCGCACCAGGGAATGGGCACCCCATCCCGGTTCCCTTCTCTCCTTCCCTCACCCCCACTCCGAAATCGTCGTCTGCATGTGCACGGAATGAACTGTGATGCATACAGCCTTGGAAGCGAGGGGGGATTGGAAGCACCTGCAAACATTTATTGCTCTTCTTTGTGTGTGTGTCGTGTTTTATCTATCTTCTCTCTCCAGGCTTCATGGACCCGGCCCGAGAAACAAGAGGTATAAGAATAACAGGCAAATAGCCCATCTTCTCTAGCCTGTGTATATATTATGTACAAATATTTAAGTGTTGCAAATTAACATGTTTCTCCTAGCAATACAATCCAGTATTAATACTGTAACCGTATTAGTAAGTGCAGGCTATCTGCTGGTAGTGGTAGTAGCCTCTGTGTGTCTTAGTGCCTCTTTGAGCAAACATGGTGTCTTAGGAGCAGGCCAAGTATCGCCCACCACCTCCACGCCTGGGGGCGTCAGTGGCGTGGACGTGGGCCTCGTCCCACGCGAGTGTCCCCCAAAAGGGTCCAGAAGGCCCAGCGCTCCTTGGCAAGGAAGTCCAGGGCAGGCATCTTAAACTAGGAGATCATCAATCCGAGGCCCCCGTGAGCCAACCTGAGGCGCGGGAAAATTGGCCACCGCCTTCATCGGAGAATCTGTGTCCAGAGCCCGCCTAACTCACTTGTTTGCTCGCTTCTCTCCAGTTAGCTGCGCTGTGCTCTGTTTTAAAACGTTTGCATCACATTTCATCTCAGAAGCGATGCAATTATTCTCTCAGGTCTGTCTGTTCTCCAGGAAACATTCCCATAGTTAGTCGCAGAGATATGCCGCTGGCTGACCTGCCGGTGGAGCTCACCCAAGAGGGGTCGATTGGGTGCTTCAGAGGTCCGTCAAGCGTAGTCCTGATGACCACAGTGGCGGCCTTTGGGGCCATGGCTTGGCCTCTCGTTTTGCATTTTGGGAAAGTCGTGGTATGGAGAACGGGCCAGAAGTCCTCTTCCTAGGCAAAGAGGAGTCTAGTTAATGCTTCCATCAAATTGAGGCGATGCATCGAGTGAACATAATCTGAGTCGCATAAATTGCCCACAGAGGACTTTAGTTTTGAGGGGGGTATTGGTGCTCTTCATTCCTGTGCGTGGTCGTGATGCGTACAGGGTCTTCATATCTTGGAGCTCTCATGGCATTGAATGGCGGGTCTTGGCGGCAACATCTTGACTTCTGGGTGGCAGAGAAGTTCGAGTCTGTGCAGTCCCAACACATTCACATTTCATGGCTGAGGGGAGTGACTGACATGAATTCCTGGAACCTCATGAATTCCCAGATTTTGCAAGCAGGAGGGCGATATTTCATGATTCTGATGGAGAGGCTTCTTGGAAGATGGCACTGATAATTCTATGCCAGCCAAAATGAACAGGGACATAGCAAGATGGATCTTAAAAGCACTTTATGAGCTGGTTTGCATGTCGCAACTACCCATGGCTTGTCCTTGGGTTACTGCTCTGGGTTGTCCCCTCCCCAGCAAGCCACAACTATGGATTGGGTTCAGACATCGTGCTCAACAATCCAGGGACAGAGTGAGCCGGTGGGAGCCAGCACCCTCCCTTGCTTCTGCTGGTTCACGACTAACCAGGGTTTAAACAAACCATAGGACGCCTTGACGTATAAACTGATATAAGCTCTGATCCTGCAGCTAAAGGACTGAAGGAGTCTTGTGCAAGAAATTGTGGACTCACTTAAAAGTTTTTTTTCCCACTATTGTTTACGAGTTCCAAACTCTTCCCTGCAAGAGCAAAGCATGTGTGGGCATCCTGCTGGGGAACTTGGTCCTTCCCCCATCCATCCATCCATCTTTCTTTCATCTGTGGCAAGAGTGTGAAGGAAGAACTTTCCTTCTGATGGGAACCCAAACAGATGGCCTTCCGCATTTGTAGTCTTGCCATCCCTCAGATGAGGAGGCAGCAGGAGAAGGCAGATTTGGCCCATCCAGAATGGAGGTGCCTTCAGCCTTGTCTCCTCGTGCCATGTGGCCGTTCAGTGGAGAAAGCAGGACTACGTTCTTCGTAGACCACGATCTACCTGGCCATTGGCCTGCTACCTGATTGACCACGTCATGCCTGCTGGTCGCTGGGACTTTCCAGATCTAAATGTTGCCTCCCCTGCTGGTAGCCGCAGAGGGGAAAGCATTCAGGCACGCTGGAAATATCTGTTTTCTTGTTTGAACAGGCGTGCCAGAGAGAGGGATGCTTTTCATTAAACCTTTCTGCCAGCCCTGAAACTGCATTTTCTTTTAGAACGAGAGAAAGAAAATGCATTACAGAAGCATTTACACACCTCTGTCACCGCATCCCTATCGGCTCTGACTCACTCTGACTTTTCTTGACATGGTTCTAGAAGGGAAATCTTGAGCTGGTGAGCAGCCACTGGGTTTGGGGGAATGGCTGATGGCAGCCCTGTGAACAATCTCCTTCACCCCCTGCTATCTAGCAGAAGTATGAAGCAAGCATTGCCTCCTTCCTGCCATGTGGGAGCTGATCTTTCATTTGCCTTGCTGATATTTGGACCCAGCCTAAAGGGAGGGGAGGGGAGGGCACGGCACGGCACGGCACGGCACGGCAGGCAGTGGGTTGCATAGCTGTGCCCCACGATCGCATGTAACTCTTCAGCCACGTGTGCCTGGGTGGAGGCCATTCCTCACTGCGGTTTCCCCAACCACGCCTGGGCACGCGTCTTCCTGTATGGAAGTGAGAACACGCGTACAGAAATGTCCCAAGTGAGGCACTCCTTTGATCTGTGCCCACGTGCACCGGCAAGGAATTTTCACCCCAGGTGGGTCCTTCCTGCGATGCCCTGCATGGATTTGGCCAATTTTTCCAGAGCATAAGTTGTCTGCAGCCACAGAGCCCCCGTGCGTCCGCTGCGTACGCATCTGTGTATACCCCAGAAAGACATTCTGAGTCATCTTCCTTTGCATGTGTTGTCAAGGCAACTGAAGATAAAACCGGGCATCCATTGAATGCGAGTTCTCTCCTGGCTGGTGCGGGCGACGGCTGGGCCACGGGCTGCTCGGATGCGCGTATTGCAGGAGCTGATGTGGCAGGAGATGAAAGGCCGGCTCTCAGCGCCTTACGCAGGGCTCCTGTCGCCCTTATTCCAGGGGTTGCATTTTTCCGGCATTCTGTTTCCCAGTACATGTTGCATTTACATTTCCTTGCTGGAAACCCCTTGCTAGCTTTCGAAAATATCAGCCTTATAGTTTTTAGATTTGGAGCGTGAGTTCCCTTATCTACTGTTCTCAGCAAGGCTGTGGGGCATTCAGAGTTAAGGACAAGTCTTGCTTCAGGCTTTGCTAGCCAAGATTCAGTATTTCTGGGTACGATCCCACCCGGCGATTGCAGCAGCCCAGTTCTGTGAATGGCTGTTCGCTGTGATAGCTGAATCGCTTTTGTAGTCGTGGCCTGTGCTGAGAACCAGTCCCACTGCCTGCGTGCGCCACTCTTCCTGAGTGCAGGTGGCAGAAGCAGCCCTCTCAGCCGGAGGGTGCTGGGCCCGATCCGGACAGGCGCTCCCGCAGAGTGACCCTGGGGGAGGTCTTTGGGTTTCCACGCTGGTCAGCTGCCTGCAGCTGCCCACAGTCCAGGCCCTGCTGGTGAAAACCTTTTTCTTTCCCCAGTATTTTAATTGTTAATCGGTCTTAATTCTCGCTTTCTAGTTATCACTGGATGCTGTGCCATTTTTATCTTACTTTATTTGTGCTTGTTGTAAACCGTCCCGAGATGCCAGTAATGGGACAGTATATAAAAGCTTTAAATATACGAACAAGCGTAATTGGCTGCCTGAAGGCGAGGCGCTGCGTTCCCCTCGCAGCCCCAAGACCAGCCCTGCTGAGGAGGGCCCCTTGAACCCGCAGCCAAGCTGCTGGGACGCGTGTTCGCGCCTGGGCAGAGGGAAAGTATTGAGCACCTGGGGGCTTACGGGGTGTGAAATCCTCTCAGGCAGCAAAAGGGCGCGGGAGGGGACAGTCGTGTGCTGCCCCTTTTCCTGGAGGTTGGGGGAGTTGCCCGGTGCACTTCCCTGACTTCCTGCCGCTTGGTGCCGGAAGGCCGGACTGGCAGTGCCCCCGTGGCCGAGAGCAGCCGCGGTGCAAGGGAGCAGAGTGCCCGTTGGGCGAGCGGGCTGGGGCTCCGTGCGTCCCTCTGGCTCAGGCGGGGAGTTCAGCGTTGCCTCCGCAGCTCAGCATCAGGCAACTGGGAGAGCCGTGCGCCCTTTTGGGGGAATGGTGGCCAAAGAGAGGAGGGGCGGGCGAGCTGCAGGGGTTGGGGGCTGCCCCACAGTCCGCCGGGTTGCCGCCATCCCGGGCTCTCTCCGAGCACGCTTTCACCCAGGCGCGGCCCGCCTCCTGAACGCCCGCCTTCTTCTCCCGCTAGACCCTGGACGGGCGCATCGTGGTGCGCAGCCATGCGCGGGTGTCTTCCCTCACGCTGAAGGACATCCAGTACACCGACGCCGGCGAGTACATCTGCGTGGCCAGCAACACCATCGGGCAGGACTCCGAAGCCATGTACCTGGAGGTTCAGTGTAAGTGGCCCCGCGCCGCCATTCCTCCCACCCTGTGCCCTCAGGCATCTGCCGCTTCCCTCTCCCCCGGCACCTGGAATGGCACAGATTTTGGGGGTGCTGTTCGGAGAGAGAGGCAGGGAGCCGTTTCTGGGGGGCAGCCGTGGTCCGGGCAGAGAGCTCAGGAGTCAGGCGTCTGGGCACGGGCTCCTGCAGAGGCGATGGCGTGAGGGGCAGTGGGGCAGCGAGCGCAGTCACGCAAGCCAGACTCTTCTTTGAACTCGTGGCAGGAACCCAAGGAGATGAGAGGTCCGAGCTCCGGGATAGCTCCCTGCCAAATGCAGTCCTTCTAAATCCCTCACAGCCATACCTGGCTTGAAGCCAGAGGTGTGGAACCAGGCCTGGCTCACCGTGGCCCCAGGCTGGCTTTCTAGGGGTTTCCAGGTGGTCTCGTCCCTGCTTCCACGCTTCCCCAGCCACCAGTCCTTGATAGCCTCTGTGCCATTTTTTTCTCCTCTCTGAAAAGCCAAGCTGTCTCTGCTAGGGCTTAGTTTCTTGCAAGAAAGGCTTTTAGGTACAATGCAGGTGGAATCTTGATCTCCCCCTGTTCCCCTCTCCCTTCAGTCCTGTCCTGCTCCTGGGATGCTTTCCGCAGGAGTCTTTGCCCGCAGGGGTTCAGCACGCCTGCTTTAAGCCGTGATCGTTCAAGGAAAGATCCTGCTCTGCTGTGGCAGCGTATCTCTGAGCCGCAGCTGAATGGAGGCAGGCAGGGAGGGTGTCGCTCGGACCCAGTGGCCTCCTCAGCCCTCCCAGGCTCTGCTCTGATTCTGGCCCTGTTGCGAACTTCTCCGAGGGCCTGGCAGCCCGCAGGTGGGAGCAGGTTGCTTGATCCCCATCTACCTGGACTCCCCTTACATTCCCAGTGGGCATCAGCAGGAGAATCTCTGGCTTCTCGGGCCATGTCAGGGGTTCTAATCCCACTAGAAGATTTGACAGCATCAAGAAGGAGACTAACTTTTGCCGCTGGGGAGTGGCGGTGGTAGATACTCCAGTCTTTCTTGGGAGGGCTCCTTGTTATTTCTTCTAAACAGACTATCCTCTCCTTATTCTAGATGCCCCGAAGTTGCAAGGCCCTGTTGCCGTTTACACCTGGGAAGGTAACCAGGTGAACATCACCTGCGAGGTCTTTGCTTACCCGAGTGCCATCATCTCCTGGTTCCGCGATGGGCAGCTGCTCCCAAGTTCCAACTACAGCAACATCAGAATCTACAACACACCGACAGCCAGTTATTTGGAGGTGAGGTTTGGGCCCCCTTCTGGATGGGAAGATGGTATGGACAGGTGAGCCCTCTATTCCCAGGATGCAGGATATACTCCTCGTCCTCCTGGACAGGGTGGCAGCTTGGCCAGACACGCTGCTCCGCAGGGAGGAAGATGGCCACTCAGAAGAGAAAAGCTCTTCCGGCCACTACATCTCTCCACAGGACACACTCCTGCCACAGCCACTTCATCCAGAAATCTAGAATTTCTGCAGCTGAGGCCTCCGGGAGCCAAATCTGGCCAGAGTTCGGATTTCTGCGACACCTCGGGGGCTGCACTGTGCTAAGCAGCAGGCAGTTGCTCTGGATGTAAATCTTGGGAAGCCAACGCCCCAGGCAGGCGCCGGTCTGTCCGCAGTTCAAGAATATCGGAAGTGCCCCACCAAAGCAGACCAAAGTCTGTGGCCTTCAGCATCCAGCTTCCCGCAGTGGCCCATCAAAGGCCCCAGGGCACTCCCCAGAAAGGGGGAAAGACTGTTGCCCTGCTGCTGCGGCCATTTATCCATCCTGGCCAAGAACCAGACATGCCCGCTGCTCCCTCCTCTGCAAACGGGCCAAATCCCTTTTCAGAGGCCGACCATCCCCTCGCGGCGGTTCCCTTGAGGGACTGGTCACGAGTCGCATGGGAAGTGCTGCCTTTGGTCCTCCCAGGCTTGCTGCCTGTCATCTGAGGGCCCCGGGCTCCATGGTTGAGGGAGAGAGCGGTGCATTTCCTTCTATCTGCTTACTCCACGTGGGGCATCATTTTATAAACATGGATTCTATCCTTGTTTAATCCTCCCCTTTTTCCCCTAAAGGAAACCACCCCGAGGGATTTTAGACATTCTTAATATGGATCCCTCCAAGCTCCCCACCCTTTCAATTAATTCATTGACTCTTTGCAGGTGACGCCAGACTCTGAAAACGATTTTGGGAACTACAACTGCACAGCTGTCAACCGGATTGGCCAGGAGTCCTCGGAGTTCATCCTCGTGCAGGCGGGTAAGTTGCCCGAGTGGCGGGCAGAGGCCTGGGCACTGCCCCCTCTCCGTCACCACAATCCTGGGGCATCGCGACATGTCCCGAAGGGGCGTGCAGCCGACGGTCACTGCTCTGCCCTGTGGGCTTTTCCCATCACCAGCCGCTGATTTTGACAGCACCGATCCCCAGATTCCCATGCAGAGCATCCAGAAGTGTCCAGGGGTCGTTGCCCTGAGCAGTTCAAAGGATTCTTTCTGCTCGGCCGGAAGACAATTGAGGAATGGCCAGAAAAGGCCGGGAGCGGGGATTGCAGCCTAGGAGTGCTGTCTGGGCTGTTCCGTCCCTGTTCCCTGGCCACACGCGACTGCGGCTGAACTCCCAGGTCACCAGCAGCCTCACTGCTCTGTCGCCCTTTCCTTTCTGTCGCAGATACACCGTCCGCGCCTTCCATTGAGAGAGTGGAGCCATACTCCAGCACCGCCCAGGTGGAGTTTGACGAGCCCGAGGCGACCGGGGGCGTGCCCATCCTCCGGTACAAGGCCGAGTGGCGGGCGCTGGGGGAAGACGACTGGCACGCCAGGATGTACGATGCCAAGGAAGGTAGGGCGTCAGGAGCTGCTGGCCCCGGGGTCACCCGGAAGAAGCCCTGCCCATGCTGGGTGGGGGCACGGGGGCTGGAAGGCCTTCTCCGTCGCTTTGGACCTGCCCAGACAAAAGTTTGGTCCAGAGAGGCATGAGAGGCAGAGCACCTCCCAAGCACTGCGCTCAGCCTCGGGGGGTGCCAGTCAAGGTGTCCGATACCCAGTGGGAAAAGAGGCGCCAGGACACCACAGCCAGCAGTGGCCAGCGCATCCCATTCTGCGGAGGGGCAGATGGAAAGCAGAGCTGCTGTTGAAGCAAAGCACGGGGTGGGATCTGCTGATATTCCTGCACGTGCAATCTATACTTCCGTCTGGTCTCTGTCAAGATTCGGCACATTTAGCATGAACTGTATTTTCCAGGTTTCTTAGAAACAGGGAGAGCTACTTTATCCTGTATGGTCAAAACAGCCTGGAAGTGGCTGTTGGTCAGTTCAGGAAAGATTGCCGCCTCCTGCCAGGAGAGGCTTCCCGGGGGCCATGCCGGAGCCCTTGGGGACACAAAGCTGGCTCCCGCCCGAGCCATGACCCATCCTCCTCGACGCGGGTGCCGTGTCACCCACTCATCAGGGCGGCCTCTGCTTCCCTTCACGCCTCCCCAGGGCCCGGTCTGCGTTCGTCCAAAGCCGCCTGCTGTTCACACCAGCAGTGGTGGCTGAAGGGCAGCAGAGGCCGCCCCGTTGAGATCAGGAGAGCCGGTTCCCCCGACACCCCCCCCCCTGCCCCTGCAGTCCCTTCACACACGCGCACGTGAGGCTGAGGCGCCACATCCCCGGTGGATTCAGCCCTCCTCGCTTGCTTCCTCTCTCTCCGGCTCCAGCCAACACGGAGGGTGTGTTCACCGTCATGGGCTTGAAGCCAGAGACCGTGTACGCCATCCGGCTGTCGGCCATCAACGGCAAGGGCGCCGGCGAGATCAGCGCCCTCTCCGAGTTCAAGACCCAGCCAGTTCGTAAGTAAACCCCCTTCTTCCACCTCGCTCTGCTTTCGCAGCCGCCGTCCGTTTCTCCCTACCCCCTCTCTCTCCGCAGCATCCCTGCCAGGCACGGATGGCACCTGTTCCTCTCGCAGGTGCCGCTCTGCCATTTTTCACCTGTCCACCTGGACGTCTCTGATTCCACCAGGTCGTAGCATCACCCTTTTTCTAATATTCTCTTTCCTCCAAGAGTCTTAAAAAAAGATCTCCTGCTGTCCAGCAACAGCTTGCCGGAAAAACGGGCCCCCTGCGTGGCGTATTTCATAACTAGTCCTCCTCTTTTGTAGCTCGGCACGTGTCGCGCGGGCCTCGGGGCAGAGACGTGGCACAGCTTCTTCCGGGGGCAGTTGTGTGGTGGCAGAATGGTGGGAGACGGTGGCGTGTGCCCCACGGTGGCTTCTGCAGTGTGTGCTGGGGCTGGCCTTCAGCACTGATTTCCACCTGAGAATCTGCTTTCTCCTTGCCTGGGCCAGCTACTCTGTCTTTCTCACAGTTCCAGCTCATTTCCCCCAAGCAGCAAAAAATTTTGTTATGCAACAATAACAGAGAAAGTCAGAGGGATTCTTTAACATTCAGAAATTTTAAAGGCGCTTCAAAACAAGTTAAGGACCGCTGACAATAAAGCGTTCTCCACTGGGCGCATCTGGGAAGCAGATGGTACGCATCCTATTCCCTTGTCAGGTTCCGATTCTTTTTCCCTCAATTGTTTTTAAGCCATTTCAGTTTCTGAATGTTAGAAGTTTCGCATTGCGCTTTACCGCGCCGTGAAGCACTGGGCTGCGTAGGAACGTTGGGGCAGCTCAGTGACTGGTTTGTGGCAGTTCTTGCTTGCCACAGGGGCTGGGGGCAGAGCGGCCATGGAGATGCCCCTCAGCTGGATCGAAAGCAGCACCCCCTCACCTGGCACGGCACCCCAGATCCCGGAGACCCAACAGAGTCAGTGCAGCCGTAAAGAGACTCCCGCGAATTTCCCAGGCCCTCTTTTAAAGCCATCCAAGCCAGTGGCCTGCTCTTGAAACAGCGAGTTCCACCCACTCATTATCCACTGCATGAAGAAGGGCATCATTCACAGGGCCTCTTCGGGATCTCCTGCCAGACGGTTCCGCTCAGCGGACACTGACCGCAGTGTCTTAAAGCCTCAGCAGCTGGGCAAAGCGTGGCACGTCCCCCAGATCAGAAGCCAAGAGGTTTCGTGTGCAGGCAGCAGTGTCACCTGCGTGAGCGCCAGTCTGGCTGCTGCTCAGACGCTCCCAGACGTGCGTTGTGTGCGGCAAGTCCTGCCCGCGCAAGGGTGGGGCTCGGAGTGAATCGGCAGGAGCCGGGCCGTAAGATCTGGAGTGGGAACGGAGCCATACTTCCAGCCTGCCTCCATCTTCTCCTCTGGGGGAAGGCCAGCGGTGGAGGTGGAGCTCTTGGCCATTGCAGTTGGCTCACAACTGTCCCCCGTGCACAGGAAAGGTCTAATTTAGTTCAGAACGAAAAGCGCTCCTTTACATCGGGATGCCTCGGATCTCACCCCAGGCCCTGCCCCAGACTCAGCCCTGCAGCCCGTCTGCTCACGCACGAGGTCTTCCACCCTTGTTTGGCTTCCGTTGTGTTGAGCAGGTGTTGTGCTCGTGTGCCTGAGGGGCTCGAGAACGGGCCCTCCCCTCCCGCCCGGCACGGCCCAGCTCCGTGGCCAGAGCCTTGTCGCCAGGACTGGAGGGATGGCACACGGGGCTCTTCCCCAGCGGCTTCCAGCCCGGACAACGCCTGCTCTTCCCCCTTGTGCCGCCCCGTCCCGAAGGCTGGTGACCCGTGGCACGCATCCCCGGAAAGTCCACCTCCAGCACAAGGCCAGGCCTGCTCGCTTGCGTTAAGTTTCCAGTGCCTTATTCTGTCACCCCTTTTTCATCTCTGTTACGTCTTCTCTTTTTCTGGGGTGTGTGTACGTCTTTTCTTTCCATCTGTGTTCCAACCATGGGAAAATGGCAGGCGCTCCGCCACCACGTAAGTGCTTCCGAATTCTTTCTCCCCCAGAGTACTCTCACCCTAACATCGGACGTAGACCTAGTCCTTAACTTAGCCTCTCTCTCTCTGTTTGGTTTTCTTCTGACTCTCCTTCTCCCTGTCCTTAGAAACCACGTAGCCAGTCGGACTGTTGCATCTCTTAATAACACCGACGCTAGCGTAGCCGTTCCGTTTTCCAGTTAACACTGCTGTTTGTAGAACTCCGTCGACGGGCTGATGCCCCCCTATCCCCCCCCAGAGCATGGCAGCGTGGTCTGTATCTGCATGCAATTCACTTGCAATGTGGTTGGGGGAGGCGACATTCGGTCCCCAGGCTTCCCTGCGCCCCGAGGGTCTTGCGCTAGCTCAGCACCGCCATGCTCCCGAGTGATAAACGAAGAGGAAGAAGAGGAGGCGGCACCCTCAGCAGAGCCTTGGTAGGCATGATTAGCCCGGGAGGGGGGCGGATGGCGCGTGTCACCACCCCGTTTGAGAGTTACAGGTGTGTTGGACCCAGCAAAACAAGAATTTCTAGCAGAGGTCACGCCCATGGTACGGTGGAGGCCGGGCCTTCTGAAATCTCCCCTCCCATTTGGTTTTGCAGAAACCTTGCCATGAACAGCGCTTCAGAATGCAGTTTCCTGTGAGCTGCTCTGCTCTGAGAGACATTGGCGGAGGGACCTCCCTTCCGGCCTCTAAATTCAAAATCTAAAGCCATAGAGAGAGCTTGTTTCGAAGCTCAGTTCATTCTGGCGCAAGATCAGAGAGGTGAACATTGCGAGGATTATGGGAGCGCGAATCTGACCGTACCAGCTGAGGTTGATGGGACGTGGGCCATGCCAGACCCATTCCTCACCCCAAATTTCGTTTCTTTTCCCAATACCAAAACTACTGCAGCAAACCAGTAGCCATTCCATAACTGTTCTTGCCAAATTTTGAAGTCCTGTGCAAACAGCCAGAAGAAAACAATATTGCAGCCCATCTCCGGGAGTTCTCTTTCAGAGAAGAAGCCCTTCCAGGGCTAATTGGAATGCTACTTTTAGCTTCCTGCAGGGAAAAGCGGAAGAAACTGGCTTATCCCGTCCCCCTGCCTGCGTGTTGTCAGGCAGGGATCTTTCTTGCCCTGCCTGGAAACATCTGGATCAAACCTGTGACTTGTTGTGTGCAAAGGCAGCATCAAGGCCAGGAGGTGCAGCCCTGCCCTGAGCCGGTTTGGCCGAGACTCTCCACGGTTTCAAGCGGGGGCCCTTAGTCTTTCTCATCTCTGCGTGCAAAGCACTGAGCCAGGGACCTTCTCTGTGCAAAGCATCTGCTCCACCAAGGGTTGCGGCTGCATCGTTGCCGAAGTGAGCACGAGCCTCGTGCAAAAGCGACGGTAAAGTCTGGGGTGTTGGCAGGACTGCCAGCAGACATCCTGCTGGCCTGCCGTGTCCCCAGGAAATGGCCAAAGGAAGGGCAGGCGCCCGTGCTCTTCCTGGTTCAGCCGGGGTCTCTCTGAAAACACAAGATCGCCCCTGTGCAGATGCCTGCCCCTCGCCAGCGCAGTCCATTATCTGAGCGCAAGTTCAGGTGGGCAGCAGTGGCTGGGCAAGCGTGGCTTACAACGGCCCTGCAAGGTAGGGCACTGCTAATGGGACTCCCTTCTTTGTTTAACTTGCATGCCGCCTTTCTGCCAAAAGCTGGGGCTCAGGGTAGCTAATGCTAAAACACCAATGAAAAGCAAACTCTTAAGTAAAACTTAGCATAATTTATATCCGTTTATCCGTAAAGACCCCTTGTGACTAAAGGGGTCACAATCAAAGAAGCACCACCCAATTGTACCCCCTCCCTTCAGAAACAGAGCAGTTCAGAGGCCTTTGCTTGCCAGCCAGCAGCTGGGCCATCACAGAGGGGCCGGACGTGGGGTTTGGATTCCCGGTCAAGAACCCTCCCTCGTAAAACACGGGTTCCTCTGCCAGAAGCCCCCTTCCAGCTCAGTGTCAACACGCGGCTGCAGCTCGGGGCCTTATGCCCCATTGGCTTGGAGGGCTTCCAAGAGGAACAGTAACGTTTTTGAGACTGGACGAACTATGGCTTTTCCCACCGAGAGGGTCTGTGTTGGAAAGTGCCTGAACACCTTCACACACGGGGTCTGTGCCGCTCACCTCGGTGGCAGGTGGGGCTGCTTCTGCCCCGTCGCACGACAGTGCCTGTTTCTCTGTTGCTCTGTGAGCAGCTGTCCGATCCCAGGGGGTGGGGACACGAAAGGGACCTCTGTGTCCAGAAATGAACTCGGAGCTTCGGAAGAGAGGAAGTGGCCCTCCTAGGACTTCCAGAAGGCTGGGGAGCCCTTCGGGCAGGGCACGCGTGCAGATCTGCAGAGGTGCTAAGGTTACACAAGGGACAGCAGAGAGTGTGTCCGCTCTCTCTCTTGCTGAGAGCCATTGGGTGGACTTTGTCGGAGCGCAGCTCGTGAGCACAGTGCATGGACTCCCTTTCAGAGGGGCATTAAGAGCATGGGATGGATGCTCTGCTGGACGGCACCAAAAGGTCTGTGTACATCTGTTGCGGAGGCAACTTCATGTGGCCAGCTTGTTCCTGGAGGTGCAAAGCATAGCTGTGAATTACCCCCTCGTGCGGAAGATTAGAAGGGAGAATGGCTCGGCCCCCCGGTTCGCACGCGCATGGTGCTGGTCCTTCTGGCACCCAAGCGGCTCCCCGGCACAGCCACGTCTGCAAATTCTGGGCCCGGGGCAGCTTGCATGAAGACCTTGCAGCCGGGAGTCGCAAGCCAGCCCTGCTAGGGTTGGGAGTGGAGATCTGTAATTCAGAGGGGCTTCAGGAAGGGGTGTGAGGTGCCGAGAATGAGGCCGTTTTGTGGAATAGTGAGGCTGCCGGTTGCAAGTGTTTTGACTTTGGCATAACCCCCCCGCCTTAACAAAAATTCTGCTGTCAAAACAGTGCCAGCTGGAGGCTGTGAAGCAATCTGCCTCATTAGGACGCTGCTGATTGCAGTTCAGAGAGTGCGCGGGGAAGGAAGGAATGGCGGAGAAAAGGTGCCAGGAAAGATTCCTTTGCTCACTCGTGATTGAGCTGATAACCTTTTGCGTTTAATTGCTGGAATGAGGCGTCTTAAATTTTGCTGGGAATTAAAAGAGAGGGTGAGAGAAAGGAGATAGATCCCTTCGCTGGAAGGGCCCCAAAATAGAAGTGCTCTGCTTTGAGGTTAGTTGCTGCTCAGATGCTCCGTTCCTTCCTGATGGAGGGAAAGAAATTGTGGCAGGTTTGGAGGCACCTTGAGTCACTCACGTGGACCACCCTGGGTCCGCTCACGTGGACCATCAGCTGCGATAAATACGATGCCTTTCCGTCCTTGCATGTTATTTTTCCTAATGGTTCTCCAGTGGGCTCTGTGCATTTTCTCAGTAACCCTTTCGACAACCCTGTGAAATGATGCGATCTCATGTTACCAGCAGAGGGGAAAATGGGGGCTGCGCAAGAGCCCCCCGCCCTTGGTGGCTTCTCGGGAGCCTTCTGATCCATTCAAACATGCTTGGACCGGGGGGCTCCCTCCGTGCCCCTCGCCCATTCCTCTGCCCAGCTGTGGCAAATCCACACGATGGTTCTCCTGAGGAATGTGCTCTTCGGCTTCCCAGGAGTCAGGAGAGCCCACCTGGAGATCACAGGGCCCAGCAGAGATGCCCAGAGGGGTGGGACTCCCTGGACCGAGCGCCTCTGCCCCCAGCCTCTCCGTGCACACCTGAGCTTCTGCAGCCGGGAGAGGGACTGACGCGCTCCGCAGACCTGCTCACCTCGTGTAACTTGGCTTGGAGAAGCTTGAGGGTGCACCAGCGGGAAAGGAACCTGGCGAACTCCTCCTTCCTGTTTGGGTGGGATTGTTTTGGTGCTCTTTTCTCATGGCAAGCCTGGGCCGGTAGTGCGGCCTCCCCTGGGCTTCCAGCCCCACGAACATGGTGCTCCCGGCTTTTCTCAGAGGCAACCGAGGTCCCCATTTGCCTTCAGAGATCCACTTCTGCTCACTGTGGAGACCCAGTGGAGGGTGCTCTGTTGACCTGATGCACGTACTGGATTTATGCCCTGGCTTTTTTCTTAGAAAAATTCACAGCGGCGTACATGGTTCTCTTGTCCTGCTCTCAGTCTTATCCCCACAACAGCAGCCCTGTGAGATGGTTGGGCTGAGAGTCTGGGACTGGCCCAGCGTCACCCAGCTGGCTCCATGGCCAAGCGGGACTCGAACCCGGGTCGCCCGAGTCCCAGCCCCACGCTCTTAACCACTGCTCCGTGCTGGCCCTCAGCACATGTCCATCCATCCCCCCATATATTGGATTGATTGCATGTTCTCCTTCCTCCCGTCCATCAAGGAGCTACAAGCTGCACCCAGTTCCCCTCTTCAGTCCCTCCCCCGTCATTCACTCAGCAAATCTAGCACTCTAACCAAAGCTTCCTCATCCTTGTGCCCTGTTGGACTGCAACTGGGAATGATGGGAGTTGTAGCCCAAGCCTCTGGAGCACACTAGCTTCAGAAGGGCCTCCCTGCCGTGCTGGGCCTGTTTCATGAGTCCGGGGTACAAGTCCTTTTGAGACCCGTGCGCCGCCTCCTCCAGTTCTGCCCCGCCCCTTTCCGGCTTTTATTTTACTCCAAAACGCATCTTCAAACCAGGCTCCATTTTATGTGTGCTATCCATCCTCCGTGTTTCCATAGCAACCCAGCATCCTCCTGAATCGGGAGGCACAGAGGCAGCCCGTGAGCTGTGGGGAGGCGTCTCCCCCACCCTTCCCTCTGTGCACAGCGGCCCTGCCTTCTCGCCTGCCCTCGCCGGCCGTCCTGCCCATCCCGACTCACGCCTTGCGGGACTGCGCGTGGCCGGGCCCCTTTGTGCGGCGCTTCAGGAGGGGCCCCGGGCGCCACCTGGCATGGAGGGATCTGAGCGAGGGACCGCGCGGCTTTCCTTCCCATCCCTTCCCTGCTCCCAGTGCAAAGTTTTGCCAAGCATGTTCTTAACAACAGAGGGAAAACCTGGATTCCGTTGGCCTTTGCAGCCGCCCTCCAGGATATTGCATGCGTCACATCTTTCCAGTCAGGGAGCTGATAAGCTAATCAAGCTAACCCTGAGCAGAGTCTTTTGAAGAGCCTTGGAGAAGCCCAGCAAGATCTGGGACCCTCGGGGACCTTCTCTGAGCCCCCTAAGGCACCCAGAGCAGAAACCTGAACTGGGTGCCAGGAAATGCATTTTTACTTTATTTTTGGTGACCTTGATTACAGCGGGATCCATTTGCCAGTGAGTCCAAATTTCCCGTCCTTCTAATACTGAAAGTTCGGCATGCTGAGGGAAGCAACGGGCCCTGCACAGGCACCGACGTGCCCCCGACCACCTTTTGTGGCGCCCAACAAGACGCTGCGGTTCGATAGCGGGAGGCCCCGATGGTGGTTACGCCTGCTGTGTCCGTGCGGGTGCCCCTGGGAGTACCCATAGCCATCATTCAGCACTGGAATGGCCAGTGGCCATGTCCCCTGGGAATGATAGGCCTTGTAGGACAGCGCCACAAGAGGGTGCCAAGCAAAGGCGTCCGGCTCGCGGTCATTTAGCTGCTTCAGGCAAATGAACTGACTGCCAGGGCCTTGAAAAGACGGGTGTGGGGAATGCCCTCGCGAAAACACATCCCTGCTCAAGTCTCCCGGGTGGCGAGGCTTTTTGTTCCCCTAACGACAGTCCTGAGAGGTACATGACGGACTGCATAATGATTCTCAGCTTGCTGGGGGCTCTCGTTAGCGTGGGATCCTCCCGTGTGGCTTTGTGCATGCAGTGGGGCGCTTGCCGTCAGTGTAAACATCCTGGAATTAGAACATTCGACCTGCATGGAGTTCATTTCTTACTGGCCAGGAGGGGGTGAGCCGTCCTGTTCTGTCACCCGAGCTCTCTGTCAACCTGCGTATCTCCGTGTGACACGCTGTCTTATCTGCTAGAGAGCAGAATTAGCAAGAGCAGTCTCCTTCGGCATGCCGCACACTGAATTCCAATTTCGCCACAGCTTTTGAAGCTGGTAACATACTCTGCCTCTCTTGCCTTGCATTTTCCCAGTGAGGCTCAGGTTTATGCCTCTTGGAAAGACAGGTGTGTCCTTCTGCTTGGATAGCAGAGGAAAGGAACGGAGCTGGAAGGAGGTGGTCCTTCCTTGGCACAGAGCCCCTGGATTCCCCGGCACAGAAGCCTAAGGATCAAGTCCGGTTCACAGCCCCAAACCTGGACTCCATCAGTCCTTTCTGAGCAAAGACTGGCACAGTTTGGTTGACTTGACTTATTTCAAGAGGCATTTTCTGCATTTCATAGGGGCTGGGAGTGTCTTACAACCCCATTTGGTGTTAGCATCACTAATTAAAGCAATACATTAAAACCTTAGGAATACAGCACCCCTCCATAGGAACCCCACACCCCAATATTCCCATTTTTCCAAAATGCATGCTAGAATAAAATGGATTTAAGATATTCTCAAGCATGGAGGTTTGGAATGAGGAACTCTCTGACCATGGTGGGGAGAAGGGTAATTCATAACTTGGGGGTCTGGGGTAGAGTGATAAAATCAAAAGAAATAAACCTTAAAGCAGTGTGCATGTGGAAAGGAAGGCAATAAAGCAGCATTTTGAACTGGCCTATCAGCCAAATTCCAGGACTGCTTTCCAAGTGAAACCAGGGAGAACGTTTTAGGTGCGGAGTCTTCCTCTCCGCACTTCCTCTGCATCAGCCCAGAGCTATGTTGAGCGAGTGCCAATGCCGTCCTTGCCAACTCCGGCAGGAGAACCCCTCCTGGCGCCCCAAACCGCACGCCCTGGCTGGCCTGGCGAGGTGCAGCGCCCCCAGCATGGCCCCAGGCAGCAGGCTCAACATTCTGGCTACCTGGATGCTCGCTCTGGCATCGAGTCCCGGTTTCAGCCCCAGCTGGAGACATCTTGACCCCTCCGATCCAAGACCAAGATGCCCAAACACTTGTGACCACCACCCCCCCCCCCCCCCCCCCGTGCAACACGGGGTCGCCAAAGCCGTACCCAGGCTCAGCCACTGGGCACAGGAGGACTAGTCTGAGCCAGCTTATAAATTATAAGAGACAGAGAGGGAGGGAGGGAGGGAAGTGAAGGCCTTTTACAGGGAAGGACGGAAGACAGACAGACAGACAGACAGACAGACAAGTGGGGCCTTTTACAAGGTAATTCTCGTGGGCTGCCCACATCCTGAGTCAGTGTGATTTTCCCCTTCATTCTAGCACAGTTATTATGGAGAAGGAAGAGGTGGTGGATTATGCGGGCAGATAATGCCGGATCCCCATGAGTGCGCACGGCGTATCCTCTCGAGTAGTCGCACGCAGCATCTTACTGAGAGGATGCATCAGCAGCTCCTCCACCTTCCATTTCCCTTAGGCCGCTCAAATGCAGCGATTGCATTACAAAAGCGGCGTTAACGTGAAGCGTTGATGGGATTGGTGTCCCTCCTGAGCGTCCTCCTCCCGCCTCTCCAACCGTCTTCTCTTCCGATTGCCTGCACAGTGTAAATCTGGATCAGGCGAGGGGCACCGGCAAGGGGGGATGGACATCTGTGGGGCACAGAGACGGTGAGGGAGAGGACTGGGGAGAAATAACCCGAGGCCTGAACGCTCCTCAGGCTGCCACCCACCCTGCAGCAGTTCCCCGCTGCCCAAAGCGTGTTTCTGGGTGGATTTTAGGCTGCCCCTTTCTGTGCTTCACCAGCTCTGGCAGGAGACCTCCTCCTGGCGCCAGGAGGTAAGTCTCTCCCCGTCCCTGGCTCCACGCAGTTCCCAAAATGGTGGAATCCCAGGAAAGGGCAGGAATGGGGGGGCATTGTCCCCGTCCTAGTCTGATTTGGATCGCTCTTGGGGGAGCCGAGTCACACCGCGACCCTGCCTCCCCCGTGTGGTTAAAGGGAAGGCGGTCGGCGCCACCAGCTCCATCCTCCTGGCTCCTCGCAGGAGTAATGCATGAAGGGGGAGTTGGCCCAGGCAGCTTTGGAGGGAGGCGTGAGGCCTGTTCGGGCAGGCTCCCGATCCCACTGCACGTGGTGCAGCTGGTGGCATCACCGTCCTCTCCCTTTCTTTCCCAAGTGGGGAAGGGAGGTCAGCTGGGTCTGCCAGGATGGCGGGCCAAAGCTGAGCCTTCAAGGCAGGGGCACGCGAGGCATCGGCCCACCTCGGTTTTCCTTATCTCACTGCAGGCCTGTGTGGCCGGGTGTCCCTTGCAGGGGCAGGGAAGGAGGATTGATCCCCTGCTGCGCGCGAGACCAAAATCCCCCTCTTCACACTGCTATAATCTTTTGGAGAAGCAGCTACATTTGTCCCATGGCCAGCTCGCCCCGTGAGAGAATCCCACTCCCCGAGGCATGCCCCTCGTCGTGTAAGGAAGAGCTCGACTCGGTTCTAACCATTAAGGCAACCTCTAGTCTGGCCCTGTGAAGCAGTCGTCTTGCTGGCCTTCCTCCCTGCAGTCGCCCGTGGGTGGTGGAGTCCTCCACCCTCCAACCACTGCCAGCCCATGATCTAAATCAATGACTATCCAAGGAATGCTGGGCTGCGTTCTTGGCTGCACAACCAGTTGCTAAGTCAACTGGGAGGGACCTGCTGGAACCTGCCAAGCTCCTGAAAGCCCGTTGATACCGCTGTTCCTGCAGACTTGCTCCCAGATTAAGTCGACTGCTTCCCTTGGTCCCTGGTCAGTGCATGGTAGAAACCGGCGCTGCATGGAAGCAAAGCACGCGGATTTCTAGGCTGCCTGACTGGACTTACTCTTCCCATGTAGCTGGACAACAAGCACTGCATGTTTTCCTCTCTTGCTTTCAGGGTGATGCGGGGATCTGCTCTTGCGTTGGGTTTGCTTTCCCGGCCTCTCCTTCGGGAGAGGAGCGTTCATCCAAAGCAGACGCCCGTCCGCTTGCAAAGATCCCGGGGGCCATTGCTGTTCTTTCCGCAGGTCCACCTGGGTGGATAAACTCTTTCCACATAACTTGCCTTCCCCCACACCCCCTTTTTTGCTTCGCTCTCTGTTGCAGATGACATCAGGGTCTCGATTTCTAGGATGCAGGATTGTCTCCATGTTTTTGCTCCCCTTCTCCTGACTCAGTTAATATGCAATTCCCACAGCTCTGCCTAACCAACTGAATTTCTTGCCGTAGTAACTTGGTGCTTTTCATTGTTTAATAATATTCTTGTGTTTGCAGGCTTTTATTTATTTAATTTTTTATTTCTTACTGTCTCCCCTGGTGTTTCAGTAGGATGGCTAATTTAATTTTGTATAGACTTTGATTTAATCTGTGAATGTTGTTGATTCCTTTGCCCATTGTTTACATCAGTTTTTTAATTTTTTTTGTATTTTCCATGTGACCTCCTCCACTTTCCTTTCAACCAAATCATGTGCGTGCGCATCATGTGACTTTGTCATGTGGCTTGCATGGTGCTGACGATGTCGTCCACGCTGGTGAACAGAAGGTAAAAATTACACAGCAACAACAAAATACAACTTTGTTCTGATTGGTCAACAAGTTCTTCATGGGACCAAAAAAATAAACCAAAAAACCAACCTTGAAAATACATACACTTTCTATACAGGAACCTCTAAATTCGCATCACTCAAAATTTTCCTTCTATAACCTTTTGTTATTTTTAGAGCTTTGTTCAACACATTCTGTCTGCATGCCAAACCAACTAAAGTCCATCGTGTTGTCCCTTTACTGGGCTAGGAAAATAGTACAGCTCTTCAAGCAAACAGGGCTGAATCGTTTGCTTCCGTTAATGTCACCGGCCTCATTTGCCTGTTACATTATAAGTTTATAATAACATGACTTCCATGTACACCAAAATGGAACATGTGAATGTTGGCAAACACAGATGTCATCCCGACGTGCTTCAGGATGAGTTGCAGATCTTTTTGGTGTGGGCACCCGATTCCCAGGCCACTGGATGGCTCTCTTAGGAGCAGGGTTAGAATTCTGGATTCTCCGCTGAAGGTGACTTTGCCTAACCTAAAGTCCACTGGGCAACCAGGAGAAGCCATGGGAATGGAGATCGAATTGTGCTTCGCAGGGGGCCCTCTGCTGGGTCACCTTTGGAAGAGCACCCGGAGGTTTTGTGCTGAGACAGCGTTCCCGCTAGTCTGTGGAACGTCAACATCCCAGCTTGATGTTCTACAGACTAGAGCTCGATACTCTTCTCTGCCCATGGTTCAGTTCTCACAGCCTCATTTCCTTGCCAGTGCCAGCGAGCAATCAGAGGAATGGGCACAGTGATGCCATCGAGCGCACTGAGATGATAAAGCAGGGAGGGGGTAATGCGGGGGCGTCCAGTCTGAGCAGAGGCTCATACGGAGCGCTATCCCTTGTGCTGTCTCCAGATCCAAGATCGCGTTGCGCTTGATCCCTTTTCCTTAATTTGAAAGCCAGGCTATAGAACTCATTTGTTGGTAATGACTTATAAATATATTCCCTCTTTCGGAAGAAACCGGAAGGCAGCTGTGAGTGACACAATCATTTATGCAACGGAAGTAGCACCACAATGATAGGAATTTGCCGGCTGCCTCTTGACACAAAATGATTTGCAAACTGGAAGACTTCTAGACCCGCATTGAAGTCGTAATACTTACCACAGTTGAGCAAACAATTGACTGGTGAAGGGGAAGAAGCATATTTGCTTTCCAGGGTAAAGCTGGTGGCAGCCACGATGGGACGGCTTTCCCAGAGCAGCTAGTGCGGTCGCACGTTAACACTCTGTGCTCACCGTTCCATAGAGGGGGACCGCTCCTGCGTTTCTGCTTCCGGGAGGAATCGTTGGTTTGGAAAACCCTCCAAGCCATTCAGCATGCCCCCCCCCCCGCCCCCGCATTTGAACTCCACGTCTTGGATGGTTTCTGCCATTGGTTAAAGGAAGCACGGAAGCAGGAGCTTGCCAGGAAAACTAACCGTAGTAACCTCTCGGCCATTGCCGCATGCATGGAGACAAGCATCCAGCCATTCTGCTCTCCTCCTCCAGATGTTTGGGCGACATCCACGTAGAACTAACCCTCAGCTGTCTGGAGTTTGCACAGCCTTTTGTTCTTTTTCCCCAGCCATCTCATTTCTTTGTGCATCGTTTTAACCCTCTGCCCTTGCCTTTCACCTTTCTCTCTCTCTACCTCATGTCTCTATCCACTCGTGATGGGCACCAGTTATGGTCTGAAACTATGGCAAATATTTTGTCATGACATAATTTTGCATCTGTTTTACACAGTGGCTGAAGTTGGTTGGGAAAGGAGAGGTGCTTGAATGATTCGCTGTATTTTCTCGGACTTCTCTGATTAGGGATGCGAACTTGCCCAGTTTTGCACATTCGAACCACTGTGTAGACCAAAACTCTGTTATCATTTGAAATATGCACTTCTCCAAAGGATTTTCCCAATTTAAAAATACATACAAATGTGGGTATATGAGGGAGGACATTGGTCAGAAATGGAGTACTGTAGGACAATTGCATGCAAATAAAATGTATTAGATAAATATATTTATGAAGAGAGAGATACATGAATATGATTTTTTTCATGCAAACATCAAAGAAAAATTGTGAAATTTGGGAGAAAGCAACCTTTGGGAGAAGGCTGCAAAAATCCTCCAAGTTCAAAACAAACCAAATTTAAGATGGAAGAAATGAGAAACAGCAAGAAGCTGGTTTAAACCTGGTTATTGGTGAATAACTTTGTGTTTATTTAGTGGATGATTCTTCCATTTGCTCTTGCTGACGTGGAAGGCTTTTTCTGTTCTTTAAAAGGACACAATTCTTTTATCACTTCTTATGCCACTCTTTCTCCAAAGATCTTAGGGTGAAGTGCGTGGTCCACGTCACACTCCGACAGGTTGTGTATCCTGGCAATAGCCTTGAAAGTAGGTTAGGCTAAGAAATAATGCGTATCCAAAGAGGGGATGTGAAGAGCACAGAACATTGCTGGACCACACCGTAAACGGTCTGGCTTTTAACACTCGTGCAGGAGCTCGTGGAAACGGGAAGCCTCGCTTGCCCTTTCTGGCAAAGCAGCCACTACAAACGGGGGGCCCGGAGTTACTCTGCTGCATGTCGTATGTGCTGCGCTTCTCGTACTTGGCCTCCTGTCCCGTTTCATATAAATAAGGACAATGCGCCCGTGCCAGATCGCACAGCACATGCGGCTGTGTTTTTACGTCACCCTTGAGCCTCTGCTTATTTTTTTATCCTCAGGAGACGGAAGAGGCACCTTCTATGTCTATGCATTTATTTATTGGAACTGTTATTTATATATCCCAAAGCAGCTAACTAAACTACTAAAATGCAATGCAACTAAAATGCAGTCAATCAATTTAAATGCCATAAAACTAGAGCAGAATCAAATAGCCATGTTTTGATCCCAGTGGCAGACAGCAAATTCACAGTAAACTTAAAAGTTAAATTATGGAAAATATGCCTTAAGCCACTTCTAAAACAAAGGAATTCATGAAAAGCTTTCTGATTTTTTTTTTTTAAATTAAAGCTATTTTGCCAGTGGGAACATGGGTAGAAACAGGTAGCTTGGTTGTAGACTGTCCTGGGTTTTATAGGTGAGAACCAGCACTTTAGATCATGCCTGGAAATGATTGGAGCACTAGAGCAAATAAAAAGAGAAATAGAATAATTTCTTAAGAATGCTCCAGAAAGTCCTCTGCTGCAGCAGAATTGTGTGATCACTGTCAAACTGTGTTTTGTTTTAACCCTGCATTTCTCTGTCAGTAGCAAAATCTGCCCAGACTCACCAAACTGCAGCTAGAGATGCGTTTCCTGTACAAGTTCTCTTTTTCCCATGTCTTAATGCTCATAATACAGAGTTAAAAGTGACTGTGAACCTCCGCAGAGCACAAACCTTCTCTCCAGCGAAGCTCGCATGGAAAGAAGCATTTTCCAATGAGCTTTCTGATCATGATTGGCAAAATTTCAGGGGAGAAGTGTTACCGAGTGATAGCGCACATGCTTTGCATTAAGAATGCCCCAAATTCCTAGAGTTTCCTTCTCAGGCTGGGAAGACTTTTCTGTATCTTGAAGCCTGGAGAGCGGCAGTCGGTCAGTACAGACCAAAGCGGGCACAGTAGCCTTGGGGCCTGGCGTGCATAAGGCTGCGCCTTCCGTTCCTATAAATTTGCGGGCAACGGAAGGAACCCTAAGGCTCCGGGTAAACGCGGTACCATTTGCCGCGCCGGTTGCCACCTTGGTTTCCCAGGTGCTACCCTGGTTAGGTTTCACATGCATGTCCTGAGCATGATTTCCTTGTAAACCTTTTCATAGCAAACCTCTATCTCTTCAGCGAGTGACACTTGAAAATGGGGCTGACTAGTTCATCCTGGCAGAACACGCGTGCCAAGACTGGGCCAAACTTTCAGACCATCTGAAGTTTCTTTTTCATTTTGGGAGGAGTAGGGGGACATTCGGGCCTAGCCTCCTTACTAACGTATTAAACAGATGGGCTTTTTTCTTTCTCTTTCTTTCGTACTAATCCACATGAGTCTGCATATTGAGATAATCACCATTTTTCTTTTTACAGTTTGAAGCAGTGCCATGATTTCTGGCTAAGCGGAGCACATCGGGTTAAAAATATCCTGGTTGCCAAGGACACCCAGTGATGATGTCCAAATATTTCCTGATATGGGCCCATCCTGGCATGCATCCTCTAGTGAAGACATGCTTCTAGTTTTTGCACTGTTTGATACTACCAGCACTAGCTGTGTCGAGAGGGAGGTTGTGTCCAGTGACCATAAAGCCCGAACAGAATTAAATAACAGTTCTGAAGTGGATCTGTGTAAATACAAAACACATGCATGTAATGTGAAGCTATCTTAGACCATTTCTTGGCACAACCTTGCATGTATTTACACAGAAGTAAGCTCAGTGAAGTGTACTCCTTGGTATGTGTGCATCGGGTTAAAGTTGTAGGGGTGCTGCAGCGGTCCTTTTCAAGCCAGTTCAATGTTCAGAGACGAAGGGGTGTTGGCAAAGGGGCTTGCAGGTGGCCAGCTAGAACAGCCTTGTCCAGCCCTCCAGCGCACACCCGAAGCAGGTTTGTGCACTGACCTACTGCAGTGTGTATGTGGCTGTTTGCAGCCGCTTTACTGAAATGGAGGTTTCGGCACTGTTTCTGGATGCTCCCAACATGAGCGTCTTCTCCTTTGGTCAAAAGGTGCTGGCAGGACACAGGCTTCTGAGATCTCAGTCAGGCAGAGACAAAAATTCTAGCAAAATGTGTCTGCTTTGAAGAACTTAGGAACTTGAACTTTTGAGGGAATGCCTGGCATCAACTCTGCAGATTTGCAAATTTACTCTTTCTAATCCTGAAAAGGCTCCAAACGTGTGACAGACGTCTTTGCGTGATACAAATCGTGTCCCATTTATCTCCTTTCTCCCCAGCTTCCTCTGGACTCCCTTCCCACTGCTCCATCTTCAACACCTCCCCCTCCAGGGCTCTT